CTATCGGCGTGGAGAATCTCACTGGATAACTGTCAGCTTAGCCTTTTTTAAATGACTGTCCCGCCTACTAAAAGCTGTAAGGGAGTAATTAATTTCCGTGCGCTGACAGCCATTTAGCGTGAACCCCCTGGGAGATAGGTCGATCCAGATGGATCGATCTAAACTATGGGAATGCAGTCTAAATTTATACAAGTCATTGTTAGAGATTTAATTGATCCTGATTTAGATAAAAAATACCAGAAGCAATGGTTAAAAACACACCTTCAGACAGCTGCTCCACCTCCCGCCTATCTTCAAAGCTGTAGGATATGAAGACATCATACTCATAGTCTCCCGCTTTTTCTGTCATTTCTGGAAATACATATGACAGTGGCAGATCATCTTACACGCAGAACTTATTCACACATAAATTAAACCCAAATACACGGTTTTGTATATCAGCATACAGTCCGGAGCCTGCTATGATTTTTGCCAACTGATTTTTTGTAGTTGAATATATATTCCTTAGACAAATATCGCACAAATATTATTTGTTTCATACAAAAAGGTGCATCAGCTCCATAAACCCTGACATGACTTGAGCAATGCGTTCATAACAACTGCTGTTCATTAGGTCCAATACAATCAGCACTTCAATGTAACACTTCAATGTTTAGATTTCGATTGTATAATTTATGCTAATTATGGTATACGCGCGCATATAATGCATAGGAGTCGTCAAGAACATAACACCCATCGCCATTACCCAAGCAATTGTCACCCAACCCAAATACACCTTTGAAAGCAGGTTACAGTAAGACACACGTGTAAACCTCACTACCTGTTTGTTCTCACCACAAGCGTCTTGCTATGTTTCTCGGCTAAATGTCGATTGTGAACCTGTAAGGTTGGTGTCCTCAATAGCGGTTAACTAACCTATTTCTTTCTCCTGTCGAACTGCGCAATATCAACTGTATGGAAAAAATCGATGTCTTTCGTTGTGCAACTTGAAAACATTGGGGTTAAAAGACTCATTCAAACGGAAACGCACTTTGTTAACATACAAACACTATTTATGTATTGTGTTTCAGAGTTAACAACAGCCGCGCTATATAGAAATAAGATATGTAGCATTTATCTACCTTTCAGGGTTGCAGCTCAATCGTAAGATCGAAAAAGTAGGAGAGCATTTATTTTACCACCCTCGTTAACTGCAGTGTAGTGTAGCGATAATCAGGTTATCTTTTCCTTTTTAATTTTAAATGGTAATTTCTGGTAAGTGCCAAAATATCGTGAATTAAGCAAAACATGTACGCTTGATTTTTGGTTTTAAAAACTGCTTCAAAAATTGCCTGCTTTGCGTGGTTCTCAATATTGATTTTAATTTAGGAAATTTTGTGATGAAAAGTTCTTCTCGTTCCCCTGCTCCACCCTTTAAGAGCTGCTGTAATATTTGGTAGTCTAGGGTGAATGTTTTGTAGTCTATCAATGAAAAGAGTCAGTGGATTTCACCTTATAAGTTACTTTATTTCGGGGGTTTCATATGATCTTAAGATCGTCACATCTGTTATTTTCTCTTTCTCTCTCACTTTCTATCTTTACAAAAAAAAATAGAAGCCATACGCCACCAAGCACATCTGACATAAAACAATACATAAAAATATCGTTAAATGGATTGTTGACACATGAAGGTAAATCGATCAATTCATGGAGAATGATCATATAAATCACTCGGCCTTAGTCGCATGTGTTGGACTGGAATTATTTAAGTTAAATAATATGAGTATGTGTGCGTGAGCTTGTGCAAGTTACGTTTCCTTAAGAGTCGGCAGGTAGGACAACTTTTTCGTATTAAACAAGGATGGAAAATGTCAAAATTTCAGAAATGTTTTTATTTTCATTTTTTTTTTTACTTTCACAGTCAATATGTTATTTTCTGTCACGTGTAGGCTACATCAAATGCAGATTGGTCTTTGGGGTCTATCCAATGATGATGTTATGGTAATAATTATTTAGATATTTAATTGAAAACAAAAAAAAAATAATAATAATAACGCTCGCCGATAGTACCTTATGAGAAAAAATAGAATGGTGGTTGAGACAAAAAAAAAGATAGATAATGCAAATCACGAAAAAGATTAATCGGATGTTAAAATAGTGACTGTGTCATCTGTACGCAGAAATAAAGTATGTGTATGGAAACTTAGTTGGTGAATAAACGTTTGATACCTTGTGACCGTAACAAAGCTAAAAGTGTTAAATTCAGTCACAAGTTCTGTCAATACCATCCCCACAGGGTTACGAACTGCAGCAATAGTAGGCCTTCTGCTTCTACTACTACTACTACTACCGCTACTACTATACTACTACTATTACTACTACTACTACTACTACTAAAAATAATAATAATAATAATAATAATAACAATCATATGTATTCGTCGTAACACATATTTACAAAGATTATTTATGACCAAAATAAAAAAGAAAATAATAACATGCATCTACTGTGAGTTCATAGTAAGTGCATACATGTTTATATAATGTATGCTATACAACTAGTCTGGTAATATTCGTGAGACGTGTAGTGTTTAAATATGAGGGTAAGCACTAGTAGGCCTATTCATATCTGTTGTTCTTGTACACTGGTCGTTTCCTTTTAAAGAACCTTGAAACACATCACTACACTTCAATCATCTGCATTGATTCTATTTTTACCCTAGGAGGTGGTTGGTAAAGAATTCCTGGTCATACGTGACTGCACACTGCTATGTAGTGTGCCAGAGTCCTCGTTGAGTTCTGGTTTCTTTTAGTGTGAGTAAGTTATTGGCAGTTGACCTATATACCCTGTGTTTTGATATACCTGCTGGTGTAGGTTATCTCTGTGCTTTTCGTACTGCATGAGGACATTGCAGGAGAAATTGGGGTGCGTTCTCCGCTCCCTAGCTGTCTACACAGTCTACACAGTCTGAGGGGTTCAGGGGTAAGAGGATTAGGTCACGTTGAGTCACCAGCCCAGTATCATTTCAGACACAGTGTATTACAGGGATATTATATATAGATATAATATATTACAACACAATAACAATGCAATCTCAATACATAAGGAAGGTTATTTACCTCATCCGACTCCAATTGAATTCCTCTTGAAAGTCATATTAATCAGTCTCATGACTATATTTCTATTTACAAAACAGGCAAGGTAAACATACTCCAGCCTTGCTATCACACTAAATCTGGGTCAGCACGCTGATACATCTGACCTAGATCTGACATTTAAATTAGATTTAATGCAGCTATATAGCTAAGCAGTTTGCACTGTGCATGTACGTTCCAGGCCAGTAAAATGATGAGCTGTTAATTAAGTTATCAATTCAATTTATTAAACCCTTCAGCCCTACGGCTCATCATACTCTTCCCTTATTGTTGAGGTACACTAGCAAATGCACTGCATATTTTGCTGGGTGTAAGCACCTGTATTGAATTATCTTTTTTAGATGCTGGTAAATAATCTTAACTACCGCAATCTGTCAAACAAACCGTATATTTTCTGCTCTAACGCACTGTATTTAGAAAAAAAATTCTCCACAATGAGAGAGATCCTCGTCTGAGAAAATACAATATGGATCCCCCGACGAAGTCAAAACAGTCCATCGATTATTTACCCGTAAGCCCATGAGTTAGCAGACCACACAGCTTAAATAGAAGATGCCCTGGCTACTGCTCCAAACCAGGGTTTTATTCAAATGTTTAGCTTTACTCCATGTTGCTTTTTATAAAAAGGGCACCAACGCACTTAAATGAGCTAAATGGTCACTTCTAGAGAACTACCACATCTTGTATACCTCCACTTTTAAAATCGATTACTGTAGGATCAATCTAGCTGTTATCCTCAATACTGGTAGATTTTCAAATAGGCCACCAAAATTACTCATTGATCTGTTGATTTCATTTTATCTATCATTTTATTTCGTATGTTTAGCTTGATCCCTAACGGTTTCCTTCATTCATTCATTTTTTCATTCATACTTTCCTTTCCTTTCTGTCTTTCACAAATCACATTTCGTGAATATCACTTATCACAAAAACAACGATAGTACATATAATCACATATACTTTATTTATGTACACATATGCATGTAGAAAAAGAGTCCATTAATTTGAAGCGAGTTGTTGCATGAAACATATTTCTGTGCTACTGGATAAATGCTTTCTACATTTATAATGCATGGTTACTAGTGTCTCACTTGGCAATACAAACACAAATGGCACAGACTCTTCCCCGCGAGCTTACGCCATCAATTTACATTTTGCCTCATCTGCAAGAAGTGGGAACAACAATTGCCGTCATGTTAATCAATAGTAATTTTGCTTGGTACTCAATGCTGTTGTTTTAGGAACAAAAAACGTGAGGCCAACATATTATAACTAGTAACACTGAGCAAAAAAAAAAATAAAAAAAAAAATAAAAAAAAAACTACATGCTCAAAACAAAGCTTAAAATAAGCAAATGTCATATATTGCTGTCACGTGCATAACTGTGCATAACTACTTACAGGAAAGTTTTATGTTATTTAGTACACGCATAGATTCAGTCCGAAATCTGAGGCTCAGGATAGGAAACAATAGAAAAAGCATGCTGAGGCCTTTGTCCAACAGTGGAACACTATAGGCTCTAAACGATGATGATGATGATGATGATGAGATTCAGTCCGATACTGGTTTACTGGTACCTCGTTTCAGATAAGGTTTTATCAAACTAATAGAAAATTGAAACACATTTGTTAAATTGGGGTCCCATAACATGGACACCATTTGCGAATGAAGAGTTCCTAGTCTTAAGAATTCTCAATTGAAGAAAGCAAAATTCAGAAATTTATTCTGTTTGTCTATCAAAATGTGTAAGAAATCTACATTCTGTGGTGTGTGTGGGCATATATAAGGCTCTTTGATTCCTTTTGATTTTCTACGAACTTATGTATAAGAATTTTGGGTAGGCATATCCTTCTAAACTAGGGTTTAAACCAGTAGTAGGGCCTAAACTCCAGTGAGGCATCATATTTTGCAATGGCAAAAACCTTATTTGCTTGGGTGCGTCTAATAGCATGCATACATTTATTATCCAATTCGGGCGTTTCACTCGTTTATGTGACCATTTTCACTGGTCAAACCGATTCTGCTATCAGATGCATTTCCGGCTTCAGCTGACACCGTCTCTGCAATTGCGTCCATTTTGTGCAAGTCATGACGGGATAAATGTTCTACTATTCCAGCACCAAAGGCATCTCCCAACACATTCACGCTTGTTAGCAATCGATCCCTAGAAAACAAAAACACATTGTTCATTTTGAAAGTACACTACATGAATAAACTGTGCACTATAAATTCTGCTTAACTAATCAGTTTTATTTTCAATGTATTAAGATTAACTTTACTCACAAGAACCAATCCACGGCAAGGACGAGCTGAATATCATTCAGTGGCAAGCCTACAGCAGTGAGCACAATTGCCAAGATGACGAAGGCAGCTTGGGGTGCGCCTGGTCCTACGGACGCCGTAATTGAAGTGATGCTTAAATTAAATAAAAACTTTTATACGCGTTTAACGTGAAACCACATTTATCTCAATCTAAGAAAGTTAACCAATATGAACACTCGAATGCCATTCAAAATAAATCACTGGC